GTGGCCAGTTGATGGTTTTTTCCACTTAGTCCAAATCGATCTGATGATTCTTTCTAACGTGGTTTGCCCCGATACACACACGCACACACACTTGTTCTTATGCATATAGGTTTTTTTGCGCCCTTCGTCAAGTGATGAAGCCACGTGATCTATAGATTCCTGCCAGAAACCGTTGTGAGTGGACACAACAGACACGTTTTAGCTGATTGTGCCCTGTGTTCTTCCTCTTCTCATCTGCCCCACACCTATGTGAATACAATGTTCACACTTTTTTTCTATCCCGTTATCGATATTACATTTTGGATTATGTGGCTACACGTTTTACGTAGGATGTAGACAAACGGAAAATGGCTTTCTATCAAACAAATTGAACGATTTTGTTTCCTTTTCACTTTGTAAACATTGATTGACACTTGCACAACCTCACTTAGAAAGCTTGCTTTCTCGCATAAATGATTTGGCTAAGTCGCCTAATCACTCTGATTCTCGGTGCCATTTTTGTTTCGTCGTACATCCTCGGCTTGGTCTATCATTAGGGATGTGAGGCTATCAGACTCCAGCTCAATCCTTGTCCGAATGGAAACAGCAATTATGCAAACCTTTGTCTGTCGTTCAACGTAGGTACAGAAAATGAATTTCTGTGAATAGTTTGGTAGAGATTGTTTGTCTGTGTGATGTTCATCTAAATAAGACTTTAATGGACAAATAGTTTGGTTACTAAAACATAACAGATTCAGTTTCTTTACTTCACCATTTCAAAGACGATAGTGAATCGAGATTTAACACACGAAATGTTGACTGATGAACAAAAATTTCATAGTTCTGACAGCTAATTCAAACTCATTGTGCCTAGTTTTAGTTGAATCTAACCTGTCTGACACCATTGTATCAGATACCAAGTTATCCCAGTTGTCGAGACGGAAGTGTTATGAACTCCATACTGAGTAAGTGTAACACAGACGGGAAAACCGGAAATCGTCGGGCTCATCATAGGTTCGTATCAGTTAGTTGACTTGTGTCTTCCTCTCACCACCAGTGTTTTCCTAGGTCTACAATCTTCCTAACTCTCACTGAACTGCATGATGAAGTGCATGTTCTTCGTTCTCAATCACTTTCCTGCTTCGAAAGATCGAGATACCTCTCCAGGCTACCTGTAGACCTCTCTCACTCACCCCGTGTTCTTCCTATTACTGTGGTTCACTCCGGATGCAGAGCATTTATCTACGTGGGGGATGTATCAATGCTTTGGCGGTTTTAAACGAGAGAACCACACAGCAATCCTGCCTTCAGGCAAGTAAGGTTAGCTCATGTAGAGTAGTGTATTTTTGGTTAAGTCCCTTCAACCACGTGGTAAATATGGGGTGAGGTACGACGAGTAGATACTTTATGAGACATGGATGCAATCTGGATCATCAATGTTCATCTCATCGTGCATCGTGGCAGTGCAAAGTGGATGCCACATGAATTGTTTGGTGCTCTCCCTTTTTCTCCTTTTTGGTGCTTATCTTTACAATGGGACTGATAAACCAAATAAACTGATTTTCTTACCGCAGCAATCAAATAGCACGTTAGTTGCTATCGCGTGTGTCAATATATGCTATCTGGCGTTACCAAATCCGAGTCATCTACCCTTACCGTCTAATATGCACCGGCCCATAATAACGATCGAACATGTACCGCAGTGGTCTGATTGGTTGTGCCCTCATGGGCACCAAAACCGTTTCGTCTCAATAGAAAATGGCAATAAACCGGGAGTGTTTGACCGTTATTATATACGCTGCCTGTTGCGATAAGTCATGGATGAACTTGAATTTTATGTTGACTCAAGCTGTGCGCGAATCCTCAGTTAGGTTGCCAGTGTGCGTTGTAAATGAATCGGACAGTTTTTGGAGCTGAGTGCAGTCATTGGCAAGGCTAGACCATCCAAACCGCACGTTTTGAGACTGCAAGACCTGGTCATATGACCCAAACAAAAATATCACCAGTTACAGGACATGTGCTACCTCCAAGATCCATTCATGGTGTCGTAAAATTGTGGTGTTTATGGTCATCGCCAATCACTTATATTTATTTATCGGAGACCGTAATGAAATCCCATTGATAATGGCTTCTAAATCTGCTACGAATGCAACCAGTTTGAGCGTTACACCTCTGGTCGAACCATCCAGTCATCGTCCTGTGTCATTATTGATCGAGGGTTCTCATTGCTTGATTACTCCGACAACCGGAGATCTTTCACGTTCTCTCCCCGGGAGCTGGGGGATGGATTAAATGCAAGAGACCAATTCATTCAATCAGTATGTCATGCAGAACTGTTGCAAACGCGATTTTCCTTCCGCTTGAGAATAGTCGTGTGGCAAGTCAATAAGTAGATTGGTCTAGATAAAGCGGATTAAATACTACCAGTTAGGCGGAGAATTCATTCGAATTTGAAACAAAATTGGTCGATTTTGTTCCGTCTCCAAACCCGATTTTTATATATCCGTACACTGGAACTGCTAATTATCCACTTCGTGTCATACACACACACATTGGTTAAATTTTATCCAACTTCGCGCTACCCCTTGTTGTTAATTCGTGATTGGGAATTTCGGTTTACATCACCCACGCGCTACAGATTCAAGGCTTTATTTGCATATACTTCCTCGTATCGTAATTCGGTGTTACTACCTCTCTCACGTCCAAGAAGAGTTTCCGCAAAATTAGTGATTGATGGCTTCATTGAGAAAGACGATATCTAGTAATTTATTTTAATTTTGTATGATTTTGTAAATTGGCATCCACAAATATAGTGTAAGTTGCTAAAAATTCCCCCATCCAAGTGCAAAAATCTGTTACAGAATTTGCTTTATCCTTCCTTGTTCTACACATCCTGTTCTGCTCTCCCTCTTAATTTCCTGGAACTGATTTTGGACATAGAACGATGTAAGTATCTGTTTGGTCGCCATCTGATTGATGAACTCCGTGGTGGCGCACGCTTGTACTCGCATGTACACCATCTTGATGTGGTGGCTGTCTAACCCTGAAAATGCTTGACACATCTACCGGGTGAAAGCCTGTCATACAAATACTAACGAATTGCCCTCAGCACCACTTATCATTCGATTTGCTTCTCAATTTCTCTTGTTTTTTCTACTCCTGTCTGATAGGTTGAACCACCATTGGTCTTACCCCCTGGTGTGGAACTGAACACAATCTACTCGGTGTAAGTCATTCTCTGTTGACTCCCAATCCCTGGGGGATTCTGATGGACACAATCATCGAGACAGACACAAAAACATCCCCCTTGTTCTTCAGTTTGATTTTGTGCCGTTGTTGGATCTTGTGGCATATTTCAAGTTGGTTTCAGTGTACAATGCGAATGGCAGGGAAGAAATGCACTTCTGTTATGCAACGACCATCTTGGTCTTGTCTCCCGTCAACAGTTGAACTCTGCGTGACGATTAATCATGCAGTGGATAAAAGTTTCGTTTTTCTCGACCCCTGATTGTGCATCCCTGGATGGGTAGTACATAGGTTATCTTCTTTTTCCTTCCATTCATGTGTTATATCATTGCAATGACTTTGAATTGCATCTTGAAAAGCAACTATGCTCGTTTGGACATACGATTTCGTAAAACTGGATATTTTCAAAAAAATATTGTCGTATAATCCTAACTTGGGTTCGGTATTGTTTTCTACTGGAAACGCGGTTCTTTCAGCACATCGAACAGATGGAGAAGATATCGACAAAAAGTGATTGATCGTGAACATGGACACTCGTTTTTTCTCTTCGTATCCCCAGTAGTTCATGGAGTTATCTCCACTCAATCGTTTGCAGCTCTGGAGGAATGTTTTTAAAACGATAGAAATGTATTTTTTTAACTGCCACGGTGTATATTGTAGAACTTGAATATCTTAATTGTTTTTGCTGTTTCTTCCTTCATTCGTTAGTAGATCAGATAGCAAGAAGCTTTAATGAATATCAGAAGGAATCAGCTTTGAGACCATTGCTCATAATATCTGTATTCTCCCATTTCAGAGCGGGAGTAAGAGAGAACGAAATTTTAGCTAAATTTCAGAGTAGACTTTACGTATCCAATGGGCTTGCTAAGCTCCAATGTAGTTGCGATAATTATCGACCTCAGACCTTCCGAAGTGAATCCATGAACCACAATAGGAAATAAAGATATCGCGATGGACTTCGTACCTCCGCAACACGATATTCGTGAATCGCTGCTCCATGCGTACATTGATCGACCTATCCCGTGATAGTCAAACACTCATTGTTGAACCCGAACATGCTTCTCTAGGGCGTGATTGCATGGCCTGTTTATAGGAATCGTTTCGTGTGGCTCGTTAGATTACGGATGTATGTAATACCAAAGAATAATGTCTATGTGACACATGTTGCTTCATGCTATTTCACTAAAAGTACGCTGTATACCAGTGCGAAACCTTATTTGAAATGAAGTTACGCAGTGTGTTTTAGTGAGGACAGGAACATGATTTACTGTCGCAAATATCTGAGTTCAGGATGTTCATTGCGTTACTTTTTGTGGTTTGCTTCACCTCCAACTGAGTTAGTTCTTTTCTGGACTATGTAGTTGGCCTGAAACTGACGTAAACTTCCGGATAAGTTGCCTAAGTGCCATAAAACACATCCATCACTTTCGTACTGAACCGGAAGTGGTGAATGAATGTTCCATCATCCTTAGTTATGACATTTGTACTTTCGTCGTTACGCACCTGTCTCTGATTATTTTTTGCCGGTGAACTCTGACCATGTCCTTAATCCCATTGACCACATGATCCTGATACGTCTCGTATCACGGAGAAGCTTCCGAATTTAGCAATATTTACTAATCTTCGTTACTAACAGAAGTACACAACTGATTCACAAAATTTCCCATTTCCAGGCCTCTGAACTTTTCCGAATTGAACAACAAGAAAGTGACTCGGTTCAATCTGTGTCAGTTGTCTGTACCGATGAACTTACTATAGATCTACTCGGTGCTGTCACGTCATCTAGCTCTTCCTGATAAATGAAAATCTGGTCCTAACATGAGGACTGTGTTTCATAGTCTGTCTTAAGGTCACCGCACACTCAGTTCTGGTGGTTGTACCACGTTATCGAGTGCCGTGAACAGTTTTTTCCCTGGAAAGTGTTTTGTGAATGCCCCGTTCCTTGCTCCTACCGGGTCGAGGAGGGTATCACTCATTCGCGATAGAGAGAGAGAAGGGTTCGAAGCCCCCGTCCCACTGTATCCGGTATTTGATTTCTCATCATCTGTATGAAGAATTTTCACCGTTCGACTCTTGTATTCATTCATTAATCGTATCGAGCTACGGGATTATCATGGACATTCACTCAAACCATGTGATCAGAGCATGACGTGTTTGATCGCAAACGTTATTTGGCGGGACGCACGCCTATACTGCCAAAATTATTCTATATTTTATTATATTCGTTTTCTTTTTTCGCAATATCTACGAGTAGAGTGGGCACTGATGCGTTAATAAAAACTGTTCGGCATCGTGATTTCTCACGGTTGTCAACTGTCAATGCGATATGGGTGGAATTCGATCGAGATCGGTGCTTCTCTCTTGATCACTCAAATGGTCGATTAGTTTTTGCTTTTTTTCCTAAATGAAACGAATTTTTCGAGTAAGTCTTTTCTGATTTGTTTTTCAATCCCGTAACTCTAGTGTTGATTTAGACGCATAGTTAGCATTGGATGGATACAGCACCGGCTGTTTAACTGTTTTTTTTTCAGATTAGTCGATTTTTTAAATTCCAGAATAAACCCAATGGAACATCAAAACACAAGTC